GAAACGTGGATTAACAATTCCAACATCCATCCGGATATTACCCCATTCAACGCTTATGCCCATTCGGGGAATGTCGAAGTAATGATTGTCATTGTTGTGGTTGATATTTTTATTTTATTATGCTGTCTACGGTTTTTACTTTTTGTTTCTCTTCTTTCTGGTCTCTTTTAAAGCCGCTATAGTCCAGCGGCTTGATGCAGGAATGCGGTTTTCGTGTGGGCTGGTGAAATACCTTATGTAAAAATGCTACGTGTATATACATGTAGTAGCCACCTTATCGTGCCCGACTACTTCCATCAACGACAAACTGCATTTCTGGTGCGACTGTTCACTTTAGCACCTCTAGCAAACTAAAATGTGCATTTACTGCGTGCGCAGATTTCTGGATTGTTCCGGGACTAATTGTTTGTTCACTAGTTTTTCAAATGTGACAGTGAGGGACATTTCATTTGATTGTGTCCGAAACCCAAGTTCAAGGTGTCTCCTTCGTGCCAAAGAACTGCATGGCAGTTGGGTGAACAGTCGTTAACGAAGGCAGTCAGGTCGTTGTAGAAGCGACGCCTGCTGATGGATGTAATGTCCTAAGTCCCTTTCCCAGCTAATAGTGAGGGTACTGCTGGGGCGACCATTTATTAACCCTCACATAATGCTTTAGGTCAAAATGGACGCTAGGCACGGCCACTTTTTTTTTTTAGCCGTGGCAAATTTTTTTTTTTATTTTTTTTTAATTTTTTTCCAGGCGGTGGCCGTCGCATCTTTACTCCATTTGTAGACTGGAAGCATATAGTTTCGTCGCCCAGCTTCTGAGTTGAGTGCATGGTGTGACACTGTGAGCTACGTGTGTTTTTCGTGGGCACAGGAGCGGAGCAACTATGGGGTGACCCGTTTGCTATGAAGCTGAAACTAGGATTACCAGATTTCATTTGATTTGCACTGGCACAGGAACGGAGCAAGTATGGGGAAACCCGATTGCAGTGATGTTGAAACCCTGACTAAAGCTAAGCTGGAATACCGCCACGAAACGGTTGCGCCCAAAACCGCGTCCATTTCTTTAATGACCTTGACTGGCAGGTCTATCCAGCCAAAAGTAATCCCAGATAGTGTCCTGGAAGTAAAAGCGACCAGTATGTTCTTAACCGCATTACCCACCGAGTTCTGATTCATCGTCATCACAAAGCAGGTCCTTACCAGAACGTCGCTCTCATTACGGTCTGTCTGAAAGAAACTCTGTCTATCGCCAGCTCGGTACTTTTATTTTACCTCACCCAAAACATGACGAACAATGAAAGCCTCGGGAAAGTCCAGTTTTATAGGGGTGTGACGGTTTGAAATAAACACAGACTAACCCTACACCCCTATAGTATTTTACTTTTCCGTGTTTGGTATGAGCTAAAATGAATATACCTGCAGCTCTTCTACGTCGTACACTGTCCCTACCCAAGTCTCACTTCACCCAGCTTCCTGCTGGACAGCCCCTGTCCCTCTTTCCTGGTACCATCCCTACTGCTATTTTTTTTTTCCAGTTCACCATGGCGCTTGATATGACCAAAATATTTCCGTTTCCGCGTCAATATGTTGTTTATCAGCCAATCTTCCTTGATGATGTGATCTTTTATGATGTCAGTATTTCTTTTCTTCTTCGTCCATGGTATTCTGAGAATCTATCTATTTGATTTCAGGTCAAAAGCCCCATTTTCTTCCTTAAAGACTGTGAGATAGTCCATGACTCACATCCTTATGTTGCTGCTACATTTTAGAAAATGCCTATTGACCTGTACAGTTATTAGTCTGGCCTATGTCCAATACGTTGCCACTGTTTGAAATAAAAAAAATGGTGTTTTTCCCCCCTCCCTAAACTATGTCAGTGCGGCATCCGAGGTAAGCACGAGTCCGACTCGTAATTCCAACGCACCGCAGTCAAAACCCACTGCTGGCTGCGTGGATTTTGAGCATGGTATGGGTCGACCCAGCCTGAAATGGGTACAATGATGTATGTACTGTGGAAGTAAAGACGGCCGGTGTAATGCTGACCACATAACCCACCTAGTACCGATTGGTCTGTAAAAATATGGGTGCTCTTAACATATGCCCGATGCGCCTTAAAGGCGTGAAAAGGGATCTTTACATACTCACTCTTTCAGTACCAGACGGTTTAACATGAGATACAAAAATGACGAAACAAATAGTCTTAGTGCAAAATAATGAATGTTTTATTTTAAAAGTGGCAGTGTACATAGCTGTAGTGACTAGTTGCGGATTTGTCTAGTATCTTTTGACCAAATAGAGACAGTATGGAAGCGACTTATGCTATGCAGGCGAATTAAGGAGTAGATTTATTCACATACAGCACAATGCTTGGGGCTGAAAGAGTTACCTCATGGTATACTACTACAGGCTGAGATGTGTTTATGTTTCAGGGAGATGTTGTGTACTGTAACTTCGGTCGAAAGTCTGACTACGCCTTGCTGGCCAAGATGGGTGTTCGCACCGACGGGGTCATCCACCTGATTCGTTATGGGAAGATCCACCCAGCGAACAAGGTAAGCGTGTGTGGTAGGCTGGGAGGGGCGTGGCAGGGTAAGCGGTGTGTAGTTGGTTCTGGGGGGAGGGGATTAGGTGGGTATGGTAATTTTGTGCGACAAAGGCATGTAGTGGATAAGATAGGGGAATGTTGTGGTTGGCTAGCTAAAGGTTTGTGGTTGGCTAGCTAAAGGTTTGTGGTTGGCTAGCTAAAGGTTTGTGGTTGGCTAGCTAAAGGTTTGTGGTTGGCTAGCTAAAGGTTTGTGGTTGGCTAGCTAAAGGTTTGTGGTTGGCTAGCTAAAGGTTTGTGGTTGGCTAGCTAAAGGTTTGTGGTTGGCTAGCTAAAGGTTTGTGGTTGGCTAGCTAAAGGTTTGTGGTTGGCTAGCTAAAGGTTTGTGGTTGGCTAGCTAAAGGTTTGTGGTTGGCTAGCTAAAGGTTTGTGGTTGGCTAGCTAAAGGTTTGTGGTTGGCTAGCTAAAGGTTTGTGGTTGGCTAGCTAAAGGTTTTGTGGTTGGCTAGCTAAAGGTTTGTGGTTGGCTAGCTAAAGGTTTGTGGTTGGCTAGCTAAAGGTTTGTGGTTGGCTAGCTAAAGGTTTGTGGTTGGCTAGCTAAAGGTTTGTGGTTGGCTAGCTAAAGGTTTGTGGTTGGCTAGCTAAAGGTTTGTGGTTGGCTAGCTAAAGGTTTGTGGTTGGCTAGCTAAAGGTTTGTGGTTGGCTAGCTAAAGGTTTGTGGTTGGCTAGCTAAAGGTTTGTGGTTGGCTAGCTAAAGGTTTGTGGTTGGCTAGCTAAAGGTTTGTGGTTGGCTAGCTAAAGGTTTGTGGTTGGCTAGCTAAAGGTTTGTGGTTGGCTAGCTAAAGGTTTGTGGTTGGTCAGGGGTGCGGTTTCAAATAACGAAAAATTGCATCCCACATGGAACGATTAACCTATTTTTAGTATGTGGTTGGCAAGATCAGAAGAATATGTGGCATACAATGTATGTTATGTGGTAGACATTATATTTGTATGCTGTAGACAATATAAGGGTATGTGGTGGGCTTGGCAAGTATATGTGGTAGATAGTGTAAGGGTGTGTGATAAGAGTCTAGGTAACATCAAGATGATGATGGTGATGACACATCTAATGATGATTTATTCAGCAAGTTTTCACATGCTGTTTTGTCATTCATGTCATGTCCCTTGTCAGGGCGCCATTTTCCTGTCATCTGGAATTCATTTGATACAATCCCCACCCACATATCGTTTCTGCATTTGTGTTCTGTTTTTGTTTCAATCTGTGACATTTTTCCAACTCTTTGTGATTCTCTTGACATTTTTTCTGCCTGTCTTCGTTTATTGTTTCGATTGTTGACCAGGTTTGTTTTTCTCACGTTCTAAACAGTTTATTTTTTGCAGTTGTGATTTTTGTAGTTAATTCTTCTTCTATGGGCTATGATTTTTTCATGTTTTGTTTAAATTATTTTTTATTTTTTTGTATTTGAAAATATGTCTAATGAGATTTTGTTCTCTCGTTATATCCTTTTTCGCTGCATCTTGTATGTGTTTATTTGAAGTTTTCTTATGATTTATTCCTGCAGTGATTTGTTGGATTCTGATTCTCTACTTGTTATGATCATGTACCTCATTATAACAGCTATCCAATTTTTACTTTCTTTATAGTAATTGGCCGTCCTTCTTTCATGTATTCTTTTCGTTCTTTTTTTTTTTTCATGGCGAATGTCTTAGCCTTCTTTCTTTCTTTCTTCCTTTCCTTCTTTCTTTCTTTCCTTTTTTTTTCGATTTGATTTGTTTTCTTAAAATTTTATATTTTCTCTAAATTTTTCTTTCTGCTACACATATGCTTCAACATTATATTGTTTTCCGACGACATAACTAAACAACCACATATAACTAAACAACCGCAACGAAGCACACGTACACTTATGCACTCACATAGACAGATTTCTGTCTGTCTGTCTGTCTGTCTGTCTGTCTGTCTGTCTGTCTGTCTGTCTGTCTGTCTGTCTGTCTGTCTGTCTGTCTGTCTGTCTGTCTGTCTGTCTGTCTGTCTGTCTGTCTGTCTGTCTGTCTGTCTGTCTGTCTGTCTGTCTGTCTGTCTGTCTGTCTGTCTGTCTGTCTGTCTGTCTGTCTCTATCTCTGCTCTCTCTCTCTGCTCTCTCTCTCTGCTCTCTCTCTCTCTCTCTCTCTCTCTCTCTCTCTCTCTCTCTCTCTCTCTCTCTCTCTCTCTCTCTCTCTCTCTCTCTCTCTCTCTCTCTCAGTAGAGAACATCTCCCTACAATTTCAGATCAAGCTGGCCGAGGAGAAAGGTGCTCTGGGAGTGATCCTGTACCCGGACCCGGCCGACTACTGCAATGGCTTGACCAACGTGTCCGGCACCTGGTGGCTGCAGGGAGACCAGGTGCCCAGTGAGCATGTCCGCTTCTGGCTGACCGGCGACCCCAGCACTCCAGACTATCCTGCCCTAGGTTAGTCTCTAGTCTGTGTCTCTCCAATGTCTTCTAACTCCTCCTTCTGTGTCTTTTTTTTTTCATTACTCATCCTTCGCCTTCTTCTCATCTTCTTCATTCCGCCGTCTTCTCCACCCTCCCCCCCCCCCCCGTTTCTCTCTCTCTCTCTCTCTCTCTCTCTCTCTCTCTCTCTCTCTGTGCGTTTTAATCCATCTAATTTCTGTCCTGTTTTTTACTTTCTTGACAAGTATTTCTCTGACTCTTCTCATCATTCGCTACAGCTTCATAAATCTTCCCTCCCCTCTATCTCTTCTCCTGCCTTAGTGTTGTTTTTGTTTCTCTTGTTCTCCTTCTTTCTCCCCTTCACCACCCCTGTGACCCTTCTCCTTTCCTTCTCCTTCCTATTGTTGTTCTTCACCCTCCTCCATAAACATTTTGCCCCCTCGAATCGCCGCTTATTTTCCACTGCTGTCACAGCATGCCATTTATTGCCACAGATTTTGGCCTGCCCCGTCTTATTTCCCAGCTATATCACTTTCTGTGGAGACCTGCCAGATGCTAATGCCGATTTCAAACCATTTTAATCGCTAGCGGCAGAGAAATTCATAATCTGTTTAAATCACCGATAATGCCTGGCATCATGAAGGTTAATAGATTGCAGTTGTTAGTGCATATAGAGAGAACGACAGACAACAGATAGACGAAAGATACCCCCCCCCCTTTTTTTTTCTGTTCCCCCCCCCCCTTTCCTCTTTTTTCCCGTTCTCTGGCGAATATTTTGCCTGTGTCACATTGACAATGGGGAGTGGGAAGGGGGGAAACAGTCTGTTTAACAGTGTTTTTGGTTTCTGGCACTCATTCTTGACCTGTGACGTGGTTGATATGTGAGCTCAGCGATCTCACGCGCCATGTTGTGTCTGCGTTCACTTTCAGCCCTGATTTGTTTTCTTTTTATGTTCGCTAAAATTCTGCTTTTTGCAGGGGCTTCGACACAGAGAAAAGATAGGTAGGTCATGGGGGGGGGGGGGGTCCTTAGGACCCCCTCTTTTTTTTTTTTTTTTTTACAAATGTCTACGGGAGACGGAAGGGGCTTACGTATTGTTTGAATATTCATCGTTGTTGTCGTTGGTGTGTGCTGAACTGAAAATAAATGGGAAGTATGTAGCATAATTAAACATAAAGATCAATAACATACAATTGGAACAAGTTCAAGAATCCAGGTACTTATGATGCATATTTACAGAAGATGGAAGACTCGATAAAGAGCTGATACAGACTGGAGTTCAAAAAGCCAATGCAGTCAACTACCAACTGGCCCCACTTCTTCGTCATCCAAAGATCTCGTTACCAGCCAAACAACGGATGATCAACAGCATTTTCATCCCTACGTTATGTTATCAGTGCCAAACGTGGACAATGAACAAATCACATATGCAAAAAATAACTACGTGTGAAATGCGATGTCTCCGAAGAGTCACCAACAATACACGAAGAGACAGAGTCACAAACGTCAGCATTAGAGACAAAGTTGGAACAAGAGCATGTATGGAACAAATTGAAAGACAGAGAATGAAGTGGTTTGGTCATTTAGTAAGAATGCAACCGGATCAGATTGCCTGTAAGGCCTTTTACAGTAGAACATCGGGAAGAAAGGCCAGAGGAAGACCCAGGAAAAAATGGATAGATGGAGTAGCTGAATACGGCCAGAAGATCCAGAAAACTGTCACTCAAATCACGCGAGAGGCACAAAACAAATATTTTAAACCACGACACTGGGCTGCAACCTGGTAAAAGTGAAGAAGACAATAGATAGATAGATAGATGTAGCATAATGTCGGCTCTGTGGCTAAGTCGATGCGAACGCTTCGCTTCGTAATGCCGGGATGCCAGGTTCGATCCCAGCTGCGGGCAACGTGCCTTACGTTGGTTTCGACAGTGGTATCAAGAAAGTCGACCGTCCAGAGGGCAATGGCAAACTACTGGATGTAAATAGCCTAGAGAAACCACACAATAGTCAGGGGCTGTTAGGGTTGGTTCTGCAACGTCCTGTAAAGGATACGCAGCTAACATGTAGCATAATATATTGAGTGGTCAGGCGGTTTCAGATGTTGGTGTTCTGTCTGTCTTTCTTTTGTTTGCTTTTCTTTCTTTTTCTTTCTTTCTTTCTTTCTTTCTTTCTTTCTTTCTTTCTTTCTTTCTTTCTTTCTTTCTTTCTTTCTTTCTTTCTTTCTTTCTTTCTTTCTTTCTTTCTTTCTTTCTTTCTTTCTTTCTTTCTTTCTTTCTTTCTTTCTTTCTTTCTTTCTTTCTTTCTTTCTTTCTTTCTTTCTTTCTTTCTTTCTTTCTTTCTTTCTTTCTTTCTTTCTTTCCTTCTTTCTTTCACTCCTTCTGTGGTCACGAGCCCTGATTTGATTTGATTCAAGAACTGACATCACAGCACTCGGGGCATTCCCATAAGCGCTCCGTCCCCATCTTCAGCAGCCAGTGAACAGTTCCAATACTAATGGTGCCAGTAGCTTTCTGATTAAACGTCCGTCTTGCCTTTCCTCTGAGCCTCGAGCTTCTGCCAGAACCTCTCGTCACCCCTAACTGCATCAATCTCACCAAACTGTGGTGATCCATCTGCTCCTCCGAACTGTACACTCTCTCCCACAAGGCACCAACCACGTCTGCCCTATCATGTATCAGTACTCCACCAAGTTGTGCAGAGCCAGCCAGTCTGTCCGTCTGTTCTTTTCCCAACACACCGGCAGGACCCGGTGAAAAAATCCAGACAATACTCCTCACTCGTGTCCTCCGCAGCGAAGCACGCCACTCTGCACGAAGCATACCTGTTCTGATCTTCCTCAGCATGCTTTCTGAATCAGTTACAATCACGATGTGTGTGTGTGTGTCGTGTTCTCTAGCCAGCGGAAAGCTGCAGTGACCGCCTTCACCTCCATTCTTAAGCTGGATGTTGTGGTATCATAAGCTAGGCTCTCCTGCACCAAACGTCGACCATTAACTTTTGCTAAGAAGCCCCAAGCACTTCTTTTGCCTCTTGACACTGAACCGCCTGTGTAAATGATCAAATCCTCTAAAATAACCTAACGGTTGAACGGGGTTTCTGGAACTGGCACCCTGTTGATTCTCATTTTTGGCATTTTGTGTAACCGGTTGTTTATCGCTCGTTGTGCGGTTCTGGTGGGGTTAAACTTAATTCATTCATGCGTACCATTGGCATATTGGGCATAGGGTGCTTGGTCCCACAATTTATAGATGACTATTTTAATCTGTTTGAGTTGTTAAGAGTTCCAAGTTCGATGAAGAACAAACAAAACACAAAAACGAGAGGGCGTTATCGGTTGTATTGTTAATAATAGTAAAGTAAAGATCCCGTTTTTCGCCTTTAGGCACATCGGGCATATGAGAATAGCACCTATATTTGTACAGATCAATCGGCACTAGGTGGGTTTTGTGGTCAGCATTACGCCGGCCGTCTTAACTTTGCCAGGACACACATCTTGGTATCCATTTTAGGCTGGGTCGACCTGCGACGCGCCATGCCACGATAAAAATCCACGCAGCCAGCAGTTTCGATAGCGATAGCGGTACGTTGGAATTACGAGTCGGACTCGTAACGCCTAAGCCACGGACATCGCCGGTTATATTGTAATCTGTATTTATTTGCGCCATTTTGGTAGCTAACAACTGCTGGCCACCAAGTAGCTCTGAAGAGAATTCCTGCATTGCTGATGGGATGATCAGACCCGACCACTTCTCTCAGACAGGCGACCGAGTCTCTCGTTGGTGGGCCAATAGAGGACCCATTTATCAGTGTGCTGGAGACCAGGGTTGCCAGATTTAAAAAACAACAACTTTATTTTATGCCAAACCATTATCCAAAATATGCCAGAAAATGCCAGATAAAGTGTAACATTGTACTCACTTCACATCAAAAGCCCTAGAATGAATTTTTCACTGTCATCCTCAATGGAACCAATGGAAGACAGTCTAAACATTTTCGGATGTAAAATCTCTAAGCATTTTCTCAGATGGGATGAAGTCTTTGCAACACATCTATAATGATGGCATATTTCCTGTTCCGAAAATCATCAATAAAGTCATCCTTAAGTGCAGGCGATATAATATTTTTTTATTAGGCATGAACATTAAGTTCTATGCATCTGTATGTTCTCCAATGTACTCCCCCGACTATGAGCTCTTATGATTTTACTTAGATGATCAATTGTGCGTATTGCACAATGGCAGGCCATGCCTACAGCAAGTTGCAACTCTGCTGCCTTTAACTTTATCATTACTTTGCCTAGAAGTCATTGCTGTAATAAGCTGTGACTGGCTTTTTTGCGGAGTTTTTATCCTGTGTTTGTTTTTGGATTTTTTCATGATTTGATATGCTACTAATTCTTGGTGCAACAGTGCACTAACACAGTTTGCAATATGCTGCCTCTGATCCGTCTGAAGATCTTTTGAGCCGTGGGTATGTTTTATTCCCGTTACTATTATTATTGCGATGTCATAAGATGCTTTCCATTTGGGGGGGGGGGGGGGGGAATGACTTGGCCATTGATAAAAGTAATAAAATCTATCACAGATAGAACTAGGTCTATATCCTCTCTATTTTCTATCCTCAAGTAGTTTCTGAACAGTCTGAATCACCTGGTATAGTGGTGGGTTTTGATTTTATATCCCGCATTTATTCTAGTAGATAAACATAAATTACAGAGGGCCTTGGTTTATCGAAGTCACGATCCATTTAGAAAGACAACAAATACTATAAGAAATGGCGCGCATCTCCGTTAGTCCGTACCAGGACATCACAACAAAGTCAAACTAAAATAAATATGTTAACTGTAGGTCTAAATTGCGTTTAGTAAATCTGCGTGTTTTTAACGGAGGAACCATGAAGAAAATGTGAGCACATATTGATAAGAAAAGCCAGGGAAACCCCAAATATGCCAAAATATGCCAGTTCATTATCTTATGCCAGTTCAATTTCAAATATGCCAAATTTATTGAATCTGGCATCAAAAATGCCAATATGGCAACCCTGCTGGAGACCCTGTTCACGTTTCCAGGCCCATCTACACACTGCCTGACTTTTCATTCATACTTTTTCTTACTGTTCTGCGTCCGAGGGGTGTCACGTTGTCTTCCCCCATCTGCGCTGATGTCGCGTGTAGTATACTACACGACGACACAGCTTTCAGCGACATCAGATAATGTGAAACTGGCCCTTACCCAACAGACCCCCCCCCCACCCCCCCCCTTTTTTTTTTTACCAACAGCCTCAGGGCACACGAGAGACTCTTTTCGAAGTAAACACCCATCTGACCTAGATCAGACCGAGAAAGTGTGTAGATGGACCAGGAAACGTGAACAGGTCCAAATATTGTATATTTACAGCATTCAACTTTGAATCCACACATCCTTGTGTGAGTTCCGGAGCCCCGTAATGAGGAATGGGTTAAAAGGGGGGGGGGGGGGGGGGGGGGGGGGACTAATTAGGGTTGTTTCTTTGAAGTCGGAGTGCACTGGGAGGCGAGAAAGCAACAATCTGCTCACAAATAAGACATATCTGGGAAATAGATGTGCATGAAAAACACAGGGCAGCCCCCGCGGTGTAGCGACTAGACGCTCGATTGCAGATCAGAAGGTCGTAGATTCGAGTCCTGACGAAGCCCGACTTTTTTTTTCCTAATGACTTCTCCCATATCGAGCCAGCCTTGGGTGGATACCAGGTACATTCCTGGGGGGGGGGGGGAAGCGGCCAAGGAGACCACATCCCCCCCCCCCCCAGCAAGTGCCGATTGGTCTATAAAATATAGGCCTAGCCCTATAAGCCAAATACGCCTGAAGCCGTGGAAAGGGTCCTTTACTTTTTGTAATGGAAAACTTAAGTTCTGGAACAAGACAACAACTCTCCACCGAAATGTACAGCAGTGAATGCTATGTACAGCAGTGAATGCTATGTACAGCAGTGAATGCTATGTACAGCAGTGAATGCTATGTACAGCAGTGAATGCTATGTACAGCAGTGAATGCTATGTACAGCAGTGAATGCTAAGAAGAATCCCAAAAAAGCAACAACAAAAAAATAGCTTTGCTGCCAGAAGGTAGACTATGCCTGAGATCTGGTAATCTGGTAATTTTAATTTCCACTTCCATAGCAAACAAATCACCCCATCTTTGCTCCGCTCCTGTGCCAACGAAAAACACACAGAATGTTTATCACAGTCCCTTGTGGAAAGACTGACAAACTGCTCTCTCAGCAAATCTAGCATACACTCGCATTAAAAGCATATGGTAGCCATCCGAAGTGCTTGCTAACACAAACAGTCCGACGTTAGAAATGTAGTTCATCATTGATGGTAGCAGAAGTCATTAAAAGATCAGCAGTTGCACACGCGATCAATTTTAATCAAATTATGGCCCCACCAATATTACGATAACCGGCATTGCGCCATTTTCTGAATCTACAAATCACACCACCACGTTGGTCAGTCGAAAAACATTCCAAATGAAATCCGCAGCTCACAGTGTCACGCCATGTTCTCAACTCAGATGCTGGGCAACGAAAGTATATACTTCCAGTCTACAAATGGAGCAAAAAAGCAACGGCCACAGTCTGGCAGAAGCAACAATTTTTTGCCTCGGCTCAAAACAGTGGCAGTGCCTAGTGTTCATTTGGATCTGAGAGTTGTACCAGATTGTGTCCTGGGAAGTAAATTCGCCTCTGGCATGATATTGACGAACATCACCCATCAGGGACCTATTGGTGTTTTAAAATAGCATCTAATTCCCGATTCATCACTGGCATGTAAAGAGCCTTTACTTTACTTTTCCTTTGTTGTGGTCCACAGAGGGAGTTCCTCGAGCTGGCAATCCCCGAGGAAGCATGCCTAGTATCTGTGTCTACCCAATCTCTTACAACGATGCTGAAATCATGTTGAGGTGAGCTGATGTTATCGTTTGTATGTGTTGGCAGGCATTTTTAAGTATTGTGTTCTTTCTTTCTTTCTTTCTTTCTTTCTTTCTTTCTTTCTTTCTTTCTTTCTTTCCTTCTTTCTTTCTTTTCCCCCTTCTTTCTTTCTTTCATTCTTTCCTTCTTTCTTTCTTTCTTTCTTCTCTTCTTTCTTTCTTTTTTTTCTTTCTTTCTTTCTTTCTTTCTTTCTTTCTTTCTTTCTTTCTTTCTTTCTTTCTTTCTTTCTTTCTTTCTTTCTTTCTTTCTTTCTTTCTTTCTTTCTTTCTTTCTTTCTTTCTTTCTTTCTTTCTTTCTTTCTTTCTTTCTTTCTTTCTTTCTTTCTTTCCTGCTTTCTTTCCTGCTTTCTTTCTTTCTTGTTTCTATCTATCTCTCCATCCATGCATCCATCCATATACTTGTCTGATTACCTAAGAGGATTGTAAATGCATTTACTAACTTGTAGGTCACAGAACCACAAATGACAGCATTTGATACTTTGAAATAGGTCAAACCATATGGATCTGACACCGCTAATTTTATATAAGAGGTTAACACATATCCTAAGCTAACATGACCACATATGTTTTGTATTTAGTTATTAGAGATGCGGGCTATCCTCCGACTAACGGTCGGCAAAGATGGCGGCCGCAAAATATCCTTTCGAGCCACAGTCGCGTGACTTAATTTGCGGTTTTCCGGCGACTATCGCCACCGCCTTGTGTCCCTAACGCGGCTCCCGCGGCATGGAATGGGGCTAAACTAGATGGCTAGGACCCACGAGCAGCAGCCGCGGTGTGCTCGTGACCGCTAGTGCGCAATTGACTGTGGCTCGAAAAGATATTTTGCGACCGCCATCTTTGCCGACCGTTAGTCGGAGGATAGCTGTGATGCGTCCTTTCTTGAACACAACATGTTTTTTGTTTTTTTTTCTATTATTGTTCTCCGACAGACACCTTGGAGGCACCTCGCCATCACCAGAATGGCAGGGAAGTTTAAATGTGTCCTACAATTCTGGCCCTGGTTTTTCTGGTCCATGGGAAAATTAGTAAGTCACCAAAATTGTTATGTTTATTTATGTTATGTCGTATTGTATTTGTTAATGGTTAAAGGAGAATTTGGAAGTCAGGTCGAGATAACATACGACTGGGCTACTGTATTATAGTACTACCTTTTTCTGTATCAGTTAAGTTTTTAATAAAACAAACAACAACAAACGTTTTTTTACCCAATCACATCAGTTTTAAGGTAAATTATGATTTGGTTAAGCAGTAAAATTTTTTAATATTTTTCACAGTAATATTTTTTTTTATATCACAGTAACTTTTTAACCCCAGCAAAGTTAAATTATATATGTTTTTTTTTTTTTATAAATTACATTAGCATTTAGCTAAATGTGTAATCGTTTTAGTTTTATTAAGTATAGAGAGCTAAATGTATAATTATGGCAGTAAAGTGGAGTTTAATATCTCTTTCTCCTCCTCTTTCTTCTTCTTCTTCTTCTTCTTCTTCTTCTTCTTCTTCTTCTTCTTCTTCTTCTTCTTCTTCTTCTTCTTCTTCTTCTCCTCCTCCTCCTCCTTCTTTTGCTGCTAGCTGCTGCTTGCGCTTTGACTTCCATCTCCTCTTGCTCTTCCTCCTCCTTTTCCTCTTCTTCCTTTTCCTCTTTTACTTCTACTTTGTCTTCACCAGCTGTAAACTCCAGTGGAAGCTTCTGATTGTTCATCCACATCTTTGCTTCAATCTTACTCCAAATCTTGAGTTTTTTGGTACATCCATTTCAAATGTCTGGCTTATTTGTATGCAGCCTGTTGGTGTTCTCACCTCTGAGGCAGATGAACTTTAATTTCAAAAACCCCTAATTGGTCAGCCTTTACAAAATACCTTTTGGGTGGGTGGTGGGGGGTGGGTCTCTTATTGGTTCCCAAATAGGCTGCCCCAGAACCTGCATGAGGAGAACTAAAGTGGCGCCAAATGTGGGATTGTTTTATTGCAGTAAAATCAAGCCAAATATGTGTTGTTTTGTAGAAGTAAAATGCAGGTAAATGTTTAATTGTTTCACTGTTTCACAAAGTTGAGCTAAATGTGTGTTTGTTTTATTGCAGTAAAGTGGATCTAAATGTGTGGTTGTTTTCTTGCAGTTAAGTTGAGCTGTGTGATTGTTTTATTGTAGTAAAATGAAGCCAATCTGTGGAACGCAAGCGTAGATGGAAATGAAAGACCTGATAAGCTGGCTGGATCCGCTATCACTGCCGACGGTCAGCCTATGGATCATGCTGATATTATTAATGCCCTCAGAGAAATGGGGAAGGATAGAGGACTTTGTAGGCAGTGAATCCACATCACTCGCCAGGATGGCAGACTTGGGAATTAAGATCGGTATAGCAAAAAACGAGACGCACACAGACACACCAGAAGACTTGTTAATCAAGATAGAACTGGTACTATTAGCCATCGGATGTTGGGGTTCATACTGAGGGGAGGGTCTGAGCACCAATGGACCCATCCAGAGTGCAATGATGATAACCCAACAAACTAACTAACAATCTGTGATTGTTTTATTGCAGTAAATTGGAGCTAAATGTGTGATTGTTTTATTGCAGTAAATTGGAGCTAAATGTGTGATTGTTTTATTGCAGTAAAATGGAGCTAAATGTGTGATTGTTTTATTGCAGTAAAATGGAGCTAAATGTGTAATTGTTTTATTGCAGTAAAGTGGAGCTAAATGTGTGATTGTTTTATTGCAGTAAAGTGGAGCTAAATGTGTAATTGTTTTATTGCAGTAAAGTGGAGCTAAATGTGTAATTGTTTTATTGCAGTAAAGTGGAGCTAAATGTGTAATTGTTTTATTGCAGTAAAATGGAGCTAAATGTGTGATTGTTTTATTGCAGTAAAGTGGAGCTAAATCTGTGATTGTTTTATTGCAGTAAAGTGGAGCTAAATGTGTAATTGTTTTATTGCAGTAAAGTGGAGCTAAATGTGTAATTGTTTTATTGCAGTAAAGTGGAGCTAAATGTGTAATTGTTTTATTGCAGTAAAATGGAGCTAAATGTGTGATTGTTTTATTGCAGTAAAGTGGAGCTAAATCTGTGATTGTTTTATTGCAGTAAAGTGGAGCTAAATGTGTGATTGTTTTATTGCAGTAAAGTCGAGCTAAATGTGTGATTGTTTTATTGCAGTAAAGTGGAGCTAAATGTGTGATTGTTTTATTGCAGTAAAGTGGAGCTAAATGTGTGATTGTTTTATTGCAGTAAAGTGGAGCTAAATCTGTGATTGTTTTATTGCAGTAAAGTGGAGCTAAATGTGTGATTGTTTTATTGCAGTAAAGTCGAGCTAAATGTGTCCAATAGTTTCATGTACAGAGAGATACACAACGTCATTGCAATCTTCAGGGGCAAATACGAGAAAGGTAGTGGTGTGTTGTCATTATTTGTTGCTTAGTTTTATTTTTCAGTTTTGTAATAATTTTTTTTAAAATTATTATTGGGAGGGAAAGCATTACTTCAGAGGTCATGAGTAGTTAGCATTCTTTGGATATTTTCTCTTGGGTGTGCAGGAGTATTGAGCAATGAACAGGCAGACGAACTGGCTGATTCTGCCCCCAATGAGTGGCAAATTTAAGCATGACAGGGCAGATGTGGTCAAGGCCATTTGGGAGAAAATGAAAAATATGGAGGCACGAATAGATAATTACAGTCTAAAGAGAATGGTACAGCTAGGAGTAACCAGGGGATCTCATCGACCGTTTAAACTCAGAGGAAAGGCAGGACGGACATATAATCAAACCTCTACTGCACCATCAGAAGTGGAACTCTTCACTGGCTGTTGAAGATGAGGAATGTCCTAAACGCTGTGATATCAATTCTTAGCTCAAAGCTCATTGAAGGGGTTCTCTGTGGTGATGGGGTCAAACCATTTGCACTGTCCAAAGGTCTCGGGTTCTCTTCATGGAATCATTCTTCAGTTCAAGAGTGCTGTTTTATGGAGGTCCCATAATCCCACATTGGATTGTCCCTATAGCTATAGAATTCATGCTTTGTGTGATGCTCTCACAGATGGATAGATGTTCTGTGAAGACAGACCAAGCTAAATGAAATCTGCAGCTCACATTATGGCACCACTCACTCAGCTCAGTAGCTGGGCAGTGGAAATATATCTGTTCAGTCTACATATAGAAGAAAATGTAATCATTAACTGTTGTCAAAAACAAAAACTTGCCACAGGCATAAACAGCGAGCCTGCCTATCTGCCATTATGATATTGAAGTTTTTGAACTAGTGTTTTTGTGGTGTTGTGCGTTATAGATGAAATGTGTGGCTCTATGCCTAGAGGTTAGTAAAGGTTACTGGTAAATATAGGCTGTGAAGACAGAAAAGATTTCCCAGTGGTTTTTTTTTTTTTTTTTAACGTATCCAGAAACCATGAGTTATAAACCCTTTGGCTCGATACTATGGATATCGCAACCCTTCGGCATTGATTCCATTATAGGTACCGTTAATCTGGGAGAAATGTGGCTTTTCTGCCTACCCCCGGGAGTGAACCCGGACCACAAGGAGTTCGTCACCCGGCCGCCGCGAAAGTCAGGTTTAACCAACTTCGCTAGAGAGCCGATAGGCTGTGAAGACAGAAAAGATTTCCCAGTGGTAAATATAGGCTGTGAAGACAGAAAAGATTTCCCAGTGGTAAATATAGGCTGTGAAGACAGAAAAGATTTCCCAGTGGTAAATATAGGCTGTGAAGACAGAAAAGATTTCCCAGTGGTAAATATAGGCTGTGAAGACAGAAAAGATTTCCCAGTGGTAAATATGGGCTGTGAAGACAGAAAAGATTTCCCAGTGGTAAATATAGGCTGTGAAGACAGAAAAGATTTCCCAGTGGTAAATATAGGCTGTGAAGACAGAAAAGATTTCCTAGTGGTAAATATAGGCTGTGAAGACAGAAAAGATTTCCCAGTAGTAAATATGGGCTGTGAAGATAAAAAACGATTTCCCAGTGGTAAATATGGGCTGTGAAGACAGAACAGAGTTCCCAGTGGTAAATATGGGCTGTGAAGACAGAAAAGATTTCTCAGTGGTAAATATGGGCTGTAAAGACACACACACAAAGATTTCCCAGTAGTAAATATGGGCTGTGAAGACAGAAAAGATTTCCCAGTGGTAAATATGGGCTGTTAAGACAGAAAAGATTTCCCAGTGGTAAATATGGGCTGTGAAGACAGAAAAGATTTCCCAGTGGTAAATATGGGCTGTAAAGATAAAAAACGATTTCCCAGTGGTAAATATGGGCTGTGAAGACAGAAAAGAGTTCCCAGTGGTAAATATGGGCTGTGAAGACAGACAAGATTTCCCAGTGGTAAATATGGGCTGTAAAAACATACACACAAAGATTTCCTAGTAGTAAATAGGGCTGTGAAGACAGAAAAGATTTCCCAGTGGTAAATATGGGCTGTGAAGACATAAAAGATTTCCCAGTGGTAAATATGGGCTGTGAAGACACACAAGATTTCCCAAAAGGAACCAGGGTCAGTAATACAAATTTAAAAAAAAAAAAACCCATGTTGTTATAATCCTTTTGCCCCAGAATCCTTACCAAAATTGTTAATGAACCCATGAAAATTACCAGGAAAAAAATACTTTAAAAATCTCAACCATTTTACACAGGTCAATAATACATTTTTAAACAAAAAAATTGTATTTTTTTAAAAATATTCATTTTTTTTAAAGTATATAAAGATGTATAACATGAGTCATCAGTAAACATGAACAAGTTAAACTTTAAATAGAACACATTCCCCAGGGCCTAAATTACAATATGTATCAAGTGACCCAAAGTGACCCATGCTGTCACCTCATGACCTCTGTCACCAAGGCTTACAGAATAGCTTGATATCAACTTGGCTTTGCAAAAAAAAAGAAACATTGCAGTTATTTAACACCCCCCCCCCCCCCCCCCCCCCCTCCTCACCTATGCTATTTTTATTTAATATCTTCATATTTCGGTTTATTACATGCACAGAGCCAATGGAATTTAATTAGGGTCTTCAAACATTAACCACTGCAGACAAGCCAGTATATCAGCATTTACAGGACTGTGACGCAACCAGAAGTGACTAGATTTACCCTCAGAATGATAATATTAAACAAAATTATGCCAGTGCCTTTTCTGCCATTGAAATTTCCAGCCATCACATTGTTCCTCAATATGTCTCACCACAATAAAAGTCTGTAAATGTGAAACTGACAGTCATATTCTTTTTTTCTGTTAGATCATTATGTTATCATTGGCGCCCACATTGATGCTTGGGGATACGGAGCTGTTGATGCTGGAACCAGTTTTGCTGTCATCATGGACTTGGCCAGGACATTTTCCGCCCAGGTCGCGAAAGGTTTGGCCCTTTTGTTTGTGAATGTGTTGGTAGCTTGAAGATGTAATTAAAGACTCTGTTGTGGCTTATGATGTGGTTAAGTAGAATTCCTAGTTTGCTTATACAGGAATGAATGGTACTTGTCTAAAATGAGTTTTAAAATTTAAATATCTAGAAAGTATGTTCTTGGACAGAAGAAAAAACCCTGGGGAAATAGAAACAAGATGCCAACAAGCCAGTTCACTTATATACCAATTGACACCGTTGTTACGGTCTGAGGAGAATAGCACTGCAAGGAGTTACAAGGGGATCTGACCGACGCTCAACACTCAGGGAAAAGGCGAGACGGATATACAATCAGACTGTTACTGGTACCATCGGAATTTTAATTCTTCACTTGCAGCTGAAGATGGGGGCGGAGCGCATATGCAGATGTCCCGAGTAATGGGATATTGATTCTAAATTCAACATTTAGCCGTTGTTAAGACATCCAATCATAAGTAAGAACGCTAAGAAACATACTATAAACAGCATATTTATACCAACATTTTGCCACGTGCAAAAACTGAACATTATCAAAGGCTAAACTAAATCAAATTATGCTATTATATAGACTCTGGGAACATCAGCATGCCCAGAATTCATTGAGAAACAGAAAATCAAATGGTTTGGTCATCTTGTTAGATTGCAGCCACAACAGCTACTAACACAGGCACAACACATGAAACAATCTGATGTGAAAGCTAGAGGTTGCAGTTTAACAAGTTTTTTTTTAACTTAACAAGAACTTCCAGAAGTATCTTCTTATTTGGTGAAGGTAACCATTATCCTTGCACTTCATCTATACTAAAAGCTTCACAGTCTCCCTCATTCCTTTTAAAAAATTATTTAAGCGAATATGCTAAATTTTCAAATAATTTTTAATTTCTGATCTTCAGGATGGCGGCCGAGAAGAACCATCATATTTGCTCTGTGGGATGCATCAAAGTACGGCCACATCGGAGCCTATGAGTGGGTACAGGTGCGGAGATTTTGCTCATTTAAATTTAAAAATATTCATAAATTTTTTGCTATCATGAAAGATCCCACAGAACAGATAGCTCATTAGAAAGTCCATCAAGTATTCCTGGCAGGAATAATAACTCATTAGAAAGTCCATCAAGTGTTATCTCCCCATGGTTGATATTTTTTTTTTTTTTTAGATTTCTTTGAATAGAATTATATTTTAATGGAGATGATAAGAGGACAAGAGGAGCTGTTGGAGAGGATTTAGTTCTGTTGATTTGTGAATATTGAAATCATTGCATACAGAAGGTTCTTCATTATTTCCTCTGTCTTCCTCTTCTTCTTCTTTATCATCTTCCTCTAGCTCATCATCATTTTATTTTCTTCTCATTTCTCTCTCTACCCCCCCCCCCCCTCCCCCCAACTTTTCCCCCCAACGTTTCTTCCTATTCATGTTTTGTTTTTTTAAATTGTAAATTCAAGGCTGTCATAATTAGCCTACAAACTCTTTACAGCTTTTGAAGAAGGGAGCAGTTCATTTGTGGAAATGTCCTGAGTAAAGTAATGTTAGTTCTTCACTCACTCACACACGCTCACTCACTCACTCACTCACTCACTCACTCACTCACTCACTCACTCGCTCGCTCGCTCACTCACTCACACACTCACTCACTCACTCACTCACTCACTCACTCACTCACTCACACTTGCTCACTCCTCACCTCACTCACTCACTCACACACACACACACACACACACACACACACACACACACACTCAGTCACTGATATTATTTCTCTTTGTATACTTATGAATCAGTACTATAAATTTATCATTTGTATTGTAACTGTTCAGGAATATGAGAAGCAGTTGACCACAGGGGGTGTGGCTTATATCAATATTGACTCAGCTATCAGAGGTAAGACAGACTCATGTTCTCTTTATCAAAAAATTTTGCAAATTATTTTTTAGTCTTATCATTATATGAAATAAACCATTTTGGTCTGGAAAGTAGAGAGTGACCAAGTGAACTGGCAGATGCATCTATATAGCCAGGAGCTTGAGACGAGGAAGCACGCAGTACCTCTTCAATGACAAAAGTTACGATCAGTGAGAACACCTTCTGATTAACTTTGAACGTGCAGTGTCCCTCAGCCAATGAATGGCAATACAATGTCAGGGGGTTAAAATAATTATGTGGAGGCATGATCGTAACTGAAAGCAATGAGTCAACACAACTTGAACATAAATTAGTTCTTTGTACCAAGCCAAGTCTAGGACAAACAGAATGGCATTATCTTTGCTTTTAATGGTGGACAAGGTCCAACAGACCCAATCAAAACTCTGTAGACAACTGTATAACAGCAACAATCCATTTCAAATGGGTTAATTCTTCCAACTGTATTAAGGAGATCAGGGTTTATATTTGGAGTGAACATGAATAACACAATAAGGAACTCACCGACATTGTCAAATAGCAAATCACTCCTAACATCTTTAAATGCATTCTTGAAGAAGATTAGATTCTATATCTCGTTTCTTCCTAATTATCCATCAGTCCCGCTGAGCTAAAACATCATTGTAAGACTAACCTGCTTCCTGCAGAAATGGCAGTAACACCTAGAAACTAGGCTGAATTTCTCTGTGGGATCCTAGGGTAAATATTCCCTTAGGATAAGCCACCCTAGGACAACAACGTTCGCCTTCTTGGACTTCTCAACTCTGAATCCTCAAGATTCAATCCTCTAACAACATTAAGTAATGTTTATGACGTCCTATTTGCCTAGTCACTATTGGTGTCTTTTAGTGCACAATCTGCACACAGCCGCATGGAATCATATAGCTACTGGTATAATCAGAATTGGAACTACATGCTGGTTTGGGAAGGTGGGGTTAGAGCATTTATGGGACGGTTCATAATGTCATTGCTTCTTGACCCATTAACTACCAAGCCAGTTAACTCTTGCACTTTCCAAGATACCAAACATTTGAGTAAAATTAAAGTAAAAGATCCTTTTCTACGTCTTCAGACATATAGGGCTAGACCTATATTTTATAAACCAATCGGCACTTGGTGGGTTATTTGGTCAAGATAATGCCAGCTTTCTTTACTTCCCAGTACTACATATTTTAGTGCATAAAAAAAAGATGCTGTAGCTTCACAACTGTTCACCATTAACTCATATTTTGTATTTTTTTGCACTAATTTGATGGAGAATGAATGTAACTCTTTGAGTCCCAAGGAACGCATCATACGTGCATAGGTTACTGCCTAGAAGCCCAATGAACGCTTGATGCGCTGATTTTCCGTCTCTTTTGATTACCCCTTGGGCCTGTGATGCTAAACCCTCTGAGACTCAAAGAGTTAAAGAATAAAAACTGTGCAATCTTGTTTGACATCCTCATCGTGTGGCTGTAGATTGGTACAAAAAAGGCAACATACATTTTTTTTCCCTGACAGCAATATAACTTTAAAAAAAAACCTCTATAGCTTCACAACTGTTCAACATAAACTCCTAATATTTTGCATTTGTGTTGCAAACTGAATAAAAAAAAACAAATTTTAAGAGAAAACAATTTTCTTAACTTTTTATATATCATCAACACATGGCTGTATATCAGTTGAAAAAGGTAACAGAAAACTTTTCTGACATTAAAATAACTTTTTTTTTTCTGAAATAATCCTGGATGAGAGCTCTGCCTAACTTGAAATCAATTTCTACTTATTCAGTGGCTGTTTGCCATTTCGCACCAAAAACTTCTGATACATTATGACTGAACTGTCAAACTCAAAAACCCATAAAAAATATGTTTTCCTTAAACGTGCATTGTGGGAATTGCACTCCAGTAATTGTACAAGATTCCTTTGTGAAATGATTTTCTCCCAACTCTAAGCCACAAAGCACTAATGTACATAATCTAAACTAACAGACTAATCTACAATACATACTTGAAGCACACATATGAAACAGTTTACACGAACTAATGTAACATGACACACCTACCTCTGAATGCACTCCACTGCTGTAAGTGAAATGTCATCTTCCAGTTTCAATGTTTTTGATGGCAGTTTGTGAGAATGATCAAAGTGACAGTCGTCAAAAGAAATATCTCCACCCTCACTTTCCAGTTTAAAACAAATAATTAAATGTCCCTTATTATCAGAAGTATTCACCAAACGTTTCCACCATACCACTCTAACGATCAACCTCCATTATCAAAACATCTGCCTAATGAATTGGGTGCTTACCTTAAGCACTACCAAATTGTTCTCTTAAAGAAACCTAGAGAAATGAATGACTAAGTAAGTAAGTAAATTTTATCCCACCAGGGCATCACACAGAGCGATAAACACCCGGTGGCACAAAGTGCCACCATGCAGATGAGGATCACCCGTGGAGAGGTCCCAGAAACCGCGTTCAACCGTCAGGCTATATTGCAGCCCCTAGCAAAAGCCATGGTGGGGCTACAAAATATTGAAAAATTGCGTCCCACATGTGGACGACCTTAGCTGATATAATGATAAAATAAATGACTAACAGCTTCAGCTACATTTATCTCAAAAGTCACAATTTTAAAATGGTGGCGAGCGTCCGAAGTTATGATTGCAGGAGATGTGATCGTGGTAGCCAGGCGTAAAAGTCAGTATTAACGTGCGATCATGGTAGTCTGGAGAGAGTGACTGTCATATTAGCTAAAACTACTGCAGTGAAATTGATCCTCTCAACTTTAAATCATTTAAAACTCTTTTTCTACTGTTCTTTTTCTTCTGCTTTTTCTTTTTCTTCTTGTGTTCGCTTTCTGATTTACAGTAACGGACAAGTTCTTGTGATAAACATGACTGTTTTATGAGTTACCGTTTAGTTCCATACAACTTTGAGTGCAGTGTGACTCACTGGACCAGTATTCCCTTCTTAATGATCTGTACAAGGGACATTCTTGCAGGACTTGTTCTGTAGTCTGCATACACAGCCCACAAGGGCACACTAGGCCAGATGAAGCCTGTGAATATGCTTGTTAAGTTTGCTATATCCTGTCCTGAGGCTTAGAATAATGAAATGGCTATGCCAATCAAGTTCTACTGTTTAAAACTAAGTCATTAACTAACTTTATGTTGCAAGTATTTGCTTTATTATCTGTTTACAGGTAACTATAGTTTTTATGCGGAGTCGAACCCACTCCTTTACGATGTGATCTACAAGGCAGCCATGTCAGTTCAGAGCTTGGACCCAGACCAGGAAGGGAAAACCGTGTATGATGTCTGGAAGGAAAGAGGAACCAGATCAAGCTTCTCAAAAACTCAGCCCTGGTGAGTATAGTAGTCATAGGGTTGTTATTGGATTCCAGAGTGGAAGTTGACAAGATGTTTTGTTTTAGGTGCGCAGTAGACACATTGCACTCTTGAAATAATTTTCTATTCACCCTCATTAAGATTATATTTTTTTAAATTTTGTGTGTGAAAAACTATATCAATAAAATACCAGGAATCATGGCAGAGATGCCTGGCTGTCACATAACGTGGCTTTGGCACAAAAACGATAAATAATTTTCCGGCAACATAAAGTGTACTTTATGGTAAGTTAGTTAGCATATGTCTTATAAATTAGCAGTACTTAAGCAATTTGCTGTGCTTTTTCTTTTCATTCTGCACTTTGATTTTTATTTAAATGTGATAAGTTTCAAAATAGAACAAGTTTCAGCAAGTATTTACAAAATATTTTAATGACCACGTTTTTTTCTCTGCTTGTGATCGGTGATCCAACATGTCCGCCTCAGATGGACATTTGACCCACTTTGATAATGTGGATATATTGTACCTGTAGACTGACCTCCCGGTGGCTTAGCTAGGACCATCGAAGTTTAGTTTCCCAACTTTCACTTTCACATATCTTCATTCTCTCTACATCTTCACATCATATTCAGTTTTTAACAAATTACAGGAACCTGTCCTTCAAGGATCCTGTTTAGATGGTTGTGACAAGATGCCAAAAAGGACTCAAGAAATGATATTAAACCGAACAAAAAGTATATCAGCAAGCTTCACAATACAATGAACACAAGCAAAATGTGAACGTTGCGTCTATGGATTCTTCATCAGAACATATGTAAATAAAACAATGCCACACAAGTACACAAAATCACTTAGCTTGGTTTCTCAAAGCAGCCAGGTCAATGTCTTGTCAGCAGACTGATGAGACGTGTAGGACAGTAGAATAAATACCCCGGTGAGTTCCAAGGGCCGTCACTGGATGGTTTTTAGACAAAAATAGAGAGAGCTACAGAGAGAAGAGTAGAAGAAAGAAAAGAAGACGAAGAAGAAAAGAGCTTAATTAGAACAGATTTATAGGTGACAGTATGTAATATTTTAATACTTCACAAATATTGTATATTTCACAACTTCACACCTCATGTTTGAAAACTTCACCAGTTTGTAAAAACCTCACATTTGACACATAACAACCTGACAGACATTTACTGACACATTCACACTACAAAATAATCCTGTAACTGACACCATTTGTTGATTTGACCTAGGATAAACAACTTATCTGGCGACCAGGATCACAGTCCCTTCATGTACCGAATAGGCATGTCTTCCCTCCTTGCGGCCTTTACCTATGACATGCAGGTCTGTGCTTTGTTTTGGTTTTATACGGATAATTTTATGTCGTTATTGTTGTTTTTTGTTAAATGCAATGATAGTTCTGTTTGTATTTATTTTTAATAGGACCTTTCAATGTCTTAACCTATTAAGGATATGGTAAAGTAAAGTTTAATAATTAAAAAAAAAAAACATTTATAAAATGGCTTGTAGAACATGTTCAGTATTTTGTGATGCCTGTCCATATGGGCAAATTTCTGAGTCCCCAGTCTGGAATTTTTGGTACAATCCACCGCAGAGTCTGTTGTGTCCAGTTCACAATCTGAATATAGTATTTCAAACAAATGTAGGAAATATTTTTTTCCTTTCCAGGCCTACCCAAACTTGCCAACATATCCAGCCCATAATACCTTGCAAGACACAATGAAATATGTGACTGACATTGACCCTGGCTATAGACTGCACTCAATGTTACTTCAGGTATGGATATTTTATATCTGTTGCTGTGGTTATTATCAATCCAGGTGTTTCCTCTCTTCAACACATTGCTGTCATGTGATATTTTCAAGAGTTTGTCAGAAGTCCTCTTGTTGCATATCAAATTTGTAGTTTCTTTCTCCCTGTGGATTTTGGGGCCCCATTTTGTCACTAGGGGAGTTTCCTTCGAAGTCGGAGTGTATCTGTTTAACATAACATAAACATTGATCCATTAGGGTTGTGGAGGTGTATTGATGGAAGCACTATCACATAAAACCCGCAATCTTTCTGTCTTCTGCTTGATGAATAAGTTTATTATTACTTAGTCCTGTCTGTTTCTTAATGTTGTCATTTCACATTCTTCTTTGCCCCCCTCTTCGACTTCCGCCAAGTGTTCCTTGCAATCGAATCATGTCTCATTATATGCCCAAACCAAGCTAGCTTGCGAAGTTTCGAATTTGTGAGGTGAGGAACCAGCAGTTTGCATACAAATAAGCCTGATCTGTAAGACGTATGTGCATGCAAAACTCAAGTTCTGGATCAAGACTCAAGTCCAGAAGTGGGTAAACAACCAAAACAACCAGAAGTTTACAGCTGGTGAACGCTAAGAAGTAAAAGAAATGTATAGACGTGTGTATGGAAAGAAAAAGCAGACGACACCAGTCAGACCAAGCATATAATGATAGAACAAAACTATTCAAAACCGGCTGGCACTCAAAGGGTGATCATACTTACCACCTTTACTTCCCAGGACATTTCCTGGTGCCTCTCTAAGGCTGGGTCGACCTAGAAGCCCATGTCATTAATAAATCTGCCCTGATGCAGGTTTGAACCCAAAACATGTTGGCTACAGGTATACATCTAGCCACTGCTACCAAAATTTTCAAGCTACATCAATACAGTTCTCCTCGACTTAGGATTAAGTTCCATATTTATATTTTTAAACACTAGGATATGGGAGGCTGTGGTTGCAGACAGTCTCCCATAAATGGTTGGGTCTACCGTTCTCAACTGTCTAGACTCTGCTGTGCAGAGTTTCTTTATTTTTTCTACCTTGTAAATGTAGTTATCTTTATTTATTACTGTCACATATTTTTAGGGGTCATAAGTGCGGATGGTCAAAAGTTGCAAGTCGAGGAGAAGGTATATATGCTAAGATATATATATTGACTTCCCTAATCCCTAACTGGTCAGATATACAAGCAATATGGGCGTGCTTGATTGTCAGTACCTATTACAGAAGGCTGAGGACAAACATAGTGACATACACCACATTGCTTAGACCAGGGCTATTCAATTTGGCCCACGGCCCGCCAGTTGAATAACCCTGGCTTAGACTATAAGAAGTAAAGATTCAAATGTTAAAACAAAAACAAAAAACACGTGATACTAGTTTTCAAACTGATTTTGCCTAGAAATAACAGGGCATATAAACTTGCTGAGAAAGAGGGTGAAGATGTATAGTAAGTAAATGAAATAAGATCATCATAGTCCACTTACGCCACTGTCTTCGGGTCAGCAGTTGCTGTTGACTAATGAGTTCCCTCCATCTTATGTGGTCAGAGTCAGTGGGCTTGATTAAATACTTAGAGAAAAAAACAAAAGGACCATCCAATTTGTCAGAATAGAAGAAGACTAGGCCAAAGATGGCTTGTACTTGAATGGCAGGAGCAGATTATTTTATGCCTTAGTACAAGGCACAGTAGACTGACCAAACATATGCACCTGCTTTATTTCTTCTTCTTTGCCTCTATGAACTCAAATGTAAGCTGCGGGTCCTTCACGGTTCCCCATAGCTTGCTGTGCACACTTTGTTCTTGAGGCCAGGTGTCTTTTCGAAGATGCAGGTAGAGTGGGCAGGTCTGCTTAATGTGCTCAGGTGTTTGTGGTCCTGTCTGAGAGGAACACTGTGGGGACTGTACAGTCTTTATTTTATGCATGTTATAGTTGAGCCTGCAGTGTCCTGTTCCGAGACAGAAAATTTGTGTATTTCATTTGAGCCTGCTGATGGGGTCTTGTGGATGTTTACTGTTGGTTTGTTCTCTCCAGTTTCTTGTTTTTTCCCTTGATGAGTGTTTTGATTTCTGGTAATGACAATGAATGGGTGTGTTGTTTCTCTTTTGATACTTTATTTGAATGATTCTTATCACTTGTGGGTTCCTGAGTCCTGTTTTGGGATTGGGGGAGGGGGGGGGGGAGAGAATAGAACCACTGCCCCCTAACCAAAAAAAAAAAAGAGGTAGCTGCATATCCTTTACAGGACGTTGCAGAACCAAACCAAACCCAGCATTTTTTGGCTGTTGTGGTTTGTCTAGGCAAATTTACATCCAGTAGTTTGCCATTGCTTTCTGGAAGGTTGGCTTCTTGATACCACTGTCGAAACCTATGCAAGGTGCAGGGCCCGCAGCTGATATAGAACCAAGCATCCTGGCATTACAAAGCGCATTCACAACGCCTAAGCCGCTGACGCCCCTAACAAACATGTCTTAAAAGGCAACTAATTAGAAGTTTGCTTAAACTGAATGTTGGGACGAAAGGGGCAAATATCACAGTGTTGAATGTGAGCTAAGAACTGGCTGTTTGGACGAAAGGGGACAAATATCACAGTATTGGATGTGAGCTAAGAACTGACTGTTTGGACGAAAGGGGACAAATATCACAGTGTTGAATGTGAGCTAAGAACTGGCTGTTTGGACGAAAGGGGACAAATATCACAGTGTTGAATGTGAGCTAAGAACTGGCTGTTTGGACGAAAGGGGCAAATGTCACAGTGTTGAATGTGAGCTAAGAACTGGCTGTTTGGACGAAAGGGGACAAATATCACAGTGTTGGATGTGAGCTAAGAACTGGCTGTTTGGACGAAAGGGGCAAATGTCACAGTGTTGAATGTGAGCTAAGAACTGGCTGTTTGGACGAAAGGGGCAAATGTCACAGTGTTGGATGTGAGCTAAGAACTGGCTGTTTGGACGAAAGGGGACAAATATCACAGTGTTGAATGTGAGCTAAGAACTGGCTGTTTGGACGAAAGGGGACAAATATCACAGTGTTGGATGTGAGCTAAGAACTGGCTGTTTGGACGAAAGGGGACAAATATCACAGTGTTGAATGTGAGCTAAGAACTGGCTGTTTGGACGAAAGGGGACAAATATCACAGTGTTGAATGTGAGCTAAGAACTGGCTGTTTGGACGAAAGGGGACAAATATCACAGTGTTGGATGTGAGCTAAGAACTGACTGTTGGGACGAAAGGGGACAAATATCACAGTGTTTAATGTTGAACTAAGAACTGGCTGTTTGGACGAAAGGGGACAAATATCACAGTGTTGAATGTTGAACTAAGAACTAACCTCAAAGCACTTGGGATATTAACGTAGGCATTACATCCTCATCTTTAGCAGTCAGCAAAGAGTTCCAGTTCTGATAGTGCAACCAGCATTCTGATTATATGTCCATCTTGCCTTTCCTCTGAGTGTAGAGTATCGACTAGATTCCCTGGTCACCCTAGCTGTACCATTGTCTCCAGACTGTAATGATCTATTCGGGCCTCTGCATTGTTCACTTTGTTCCTAAAGGACCTTGACCACCCATTAGTGCAGAACCACCCGTCTGTCTGCTTTGTTCATTTCCCACTACTCCTGCATGCCCCTTTGAGAAAATATCCAAAGAGTGCTAACTATCTGAATCACTAAAGTGATGCTTGCCGCTCGCTCCAGAGATCCCAGGTAGTCAGAGTTATACCTGCAGTCTAGAGGTAATCCCCTGCACAGTGTTGCCTGCTGCTCTTTTCAGGGTGAATAGACAAGAAGAGGAATAGTTTGCCACTGTGGTACTGTGGGTTTTGTATGCAAACCACATAAATGTTCTGCAAAATTGTCTGTTGTGTAACCCATTAAGACGGAGATGCTTTATTAATGAGGTAACACCATACACAAAGGTGTATGGAACTAAGACGTCCCCAGAAGCTGGTCAACTTTTAGGTATCAGGAAAGCAATCACACAAAAAAAAGAAAAAGAAGTAGAGGAAGAAGAAAAAGAAGATGACAAAGAAAGGATATTACCTGTTGATAATTTTGATCTTATTTTTTTAAAAGATTAAATGTTGTGTATAATAAGGTCTCATTTGTGTTTATGCATGTCTGCAGGTGCTCTGTGACATTGTGCTGAGGCTTTCAGACTCTGCCATTATCCCCATGAATGTCACACATTATTCTGACATGATGCACCAGCGTTTACCTGCTGTCATCGACATGTTGTCGTCAACACCGCTTGGTAACGATACAGGTGGGTGGTGTCATGTCATCATTAGGTAGAGGTCACACATTAACAACACAGGCAAGTATTGTCATTTCACGGTTGATGTTATCAGAACCCTTTGGGATTGAGTCAGCAGTGCATAGGCACATATAGATCATCATGATAAGAAGAGAATGGTGCAGCTGGGACATGGCACTGGCTGTCTGAGATCAGGTGAACAGGGCAACAGAACTGACAGAGTATCCATATCTGGAAGGATGATTTCACTAGGAGTGAGCAGAGGGTCTGGAGGATTTGCCCTCAGGGCAGGGGGGGGGGGGATAGAATAGGGGGATTCTATCATGGATACGCCTTTCAGCTGACACTGTCAAGTATTTGTCGGAGTATTTGTTGATCAGGGGTAACTTCCTGGATAGTTTTATGGGACAGGGACATGACAGCCTTATTTGTGTGGTGTTCTCTTTGTTCCCTTATCCATAATTGTTGCCCCTAGAGATCCCATCCAGGGCATCTACACGTAGACAGGTCGGCCCTCAGGGAAAGGCAGGGGCAGATCATAGGCATTCCCTGCCATTCCATAAATGCAAAGCCAACACATGACGCTTTGGTTCTGGGCTCACAAAAGAAATCGTCACATCCTGCTCCTGACTGCTTAACCTCACATCCGCATATTGAGCTTTACAATTGTCATGGACTGCTCCCTCCAGAGATTAGCAGGAGTCCCACAGGTCCTGGACTTCGATGGCCACACAAATAGGTACATTTTTGGGGGGCACGTTAGATGCCTTTAACGTTATTTTAACTGGAAACAGCAAGACAGTACAGCAAAGCATGCTTCCAGCGTGGCTTCCCCTTTTAGATCCCACACTTTGGTAAGTGGGGCCAGTGGTAATGGGAATGTGAGTTTTTCTACCAGTCAGTAAGACTTTTTCCGGTCAGACATTCTGGACTTTGTTTCTGTGCCACAAGGCATCTATCAGACATTTGTGCCATACAAGCACACTCACAGTGGTATGTGTTGTCATGTACCTGACCGCAGTGTTGATGATCTTGAGGAACAGCAAGGGATGTACGGAAACAAGACTGTTCCTTAAGCTGCTGCCCACAAGAGATGTTGCTCATTTAGGCTGTGAGCAAATCTCTTGTTATAGGGCTGAATCTCAGCAGTACAGTAGTTCTTTTGTCTTGACAGACATTTTAACCGAGGGTTGTCATTTAGTATTATGTTCGGTTAACAGACTTTACCTATGTTCCAAATGGGCTTTGATAGATATTTTCACCCATGAAACGCCGGTGTGTTGGGAAATGAACAGGCGGACAGAATGGCTGCTCTGCACAGCTTGGTGAAATACTGATGCATGATTAGGCAGACATGGTTAGTACCTTGTGGGAAAGCTTGTACATTCGGAGGAGCAGATTGATCACCATAGTGTAGTGAGATTGATGCAGTTGGGGGTGACGAGAGGTTCTGGCAGATGCTCTAGGCTCAGAGAAAAGGCACGACGGACGTTTAATCAGAATGCTACTGCCACCATTAGTATCGGAACTTTTCACTGGCTGCTGAAGATGAGGGCCGAGCGCTTATGGGAATGCCCCGAGTGCTGTGATGTCGGTTCTTGAATCAAATCAAATAAAATCAACCCATGAATTGGAAGTGGGCTGATGTCAGCCAGACTGGACTCTACATCTCTAGATCCCATGATGCCAACTCGGTTCAGGTCACAAAAGTGAGCCCTTATCCATGGCCCATGATGAGGACGTGCGGCAGGAGTCTTGTGGGAGGATCCATAGAGCCGACCGGTGCCCAGGGTGAAGTACGGAGTAACTTCTTAAACACATCACAACAGCCTACACCTGTGACCAATGTCACCGCACCACATTTACATTGATACAGTTATTGGTTGCCTTAAGCACAAGGACAACAACTGTAACTGTGTAGGGCTAAATTAGACTCAAGAAGTTTATTTACTGTCTTTTGTTTCCTGCTACAGAAATACTGCAGTCAACAATTGCAGACTTCACTCAGGCAGCCCAACAGTTCCAGTCCAAGCTAGACAAACAGAACAAAACAGATATGACGTAAGTTTTCTTTTTCTGCAGATCTCACTTTTTTTAAAAGTTTTTTTAATTGTATTATCTATCACCTGTCCATCTTTCAAGATGACAGTGTTATATTATGCTTCAGGGTAGAAGTTCCTTCTCTACATAGCACAAAGCCTGGGAAGTATTGTAGAGACAAAGGGTTGCCCATGCAATATGATCTCTCTCTCTCTCTCTCTCTCTCTCTCTCTCTCTCTCTCTCTCTCTCTCTCTCTCTCTCTCTCTCTCTCTCTCTCTCTCTCTCTCTCTCTCTCTCTCTCTCTCTCTCTCTCTCTCTTTCTGCCTTGTTCACTCCAAAGTAAAGGTAACACCAATATGTTTGGAACAAATCATGCTGTAGAACCTACCGGATCAGAAAATCAGTGCCCTGTCTGTCCTGTTGGAGCTTGCCTCGTAGATCAGCTGCCAGCTGAGGTTAAGGGCATGGTCTACCCTGCCATAACACTACATTTTCCTGTTCCATTCATCTTCCTAGGATTAGGTATCCTCCCCAAACTGTTGACACAGGAAGGAATGTCAGGTTTGATATTTGCTACACAGAGTAGTACCTACTACTGTTATACAGTAGCTCAGTCATACTGAGTTTACAGAGCACAGGCAGTATTGACTACTGTTATATGGTAGCTGAGTCATATATGATGGAGACCTGGCAATATTGATTTCTTACTGCACGTTTTATTATCTTTATTATTATCATTGCTGTGTTTCTCTACAAGAGTTATAACCAGCTTCAGAACCTGTTCTGATTGCAACCTGACTCACAAAGCAGGCTGAGAAAGATGGTGAAAGGCAGGCTCTGTTCATAGGGGTAGGCATTGCTTCAGACCCCCTGGTAGTGTCCTGTGGTGACTTTTTCCAGGGTATACAGGTGTGGTGGGAAATGGACAGGCAGACAGAATGGCTGATGCTGCACTGTATGATTCACCATATAAATTACTTTTTTTTAGGCCTAAGAGAAGATGTAGTCTTTTAATTCTCAGCTCATTTCATGTTTTATTCCTCTTCATATTATTACTTCTCTTCATATATTTATGTAATCATTTTTAAAATCTATATAAATACATTTTTTTAAACGATTTATTATTGACCTGTGTGGTTTAAAGGATTACTTGTCTCTATGTATTTCTGTAAACTTTTATTAAAATGTATATGAATATATTGTTTTTTAAATTAATTAGTAACCTGTGCTTTTTAAAGGATTTTTTCAGGAATTCCTAGGTTCTGTGTTTTTTCTCCAATTGGTTTTGGGAAGCGAGAGGGTTAAATAGAAAAGAGTCCTTAAACAAACGAGTCCTTAAACAAACGAGTCCGTAAACAAACGAGTCCTTAAACAAACACAAGCTTCTAGAGGATAAGAATATAATACTACATCACCTCTGAGACTTAGAGTTGGTAAAATCATGTTGCAGTGCAGTCCTCAATGGTGGTACAAGAATCACACCATGGAAGAGACTGGGGCCTGATCATGTTATTTTCCCATAATTAGCAGTCAATACATGGCAACCAACATCCATTGTAGAAAGGGCAAAGTTATTTTTAAAATACTTAACCCTGACCCTTTTCTTTCAGAGAATTTGATGTCCTGGAAATTAACGACAAGCTCATTAGGATTTCAAGGTCATTCATTTACGATGGTCAGTTGTTACATCAGGGGCAGTACAGGTCAGTTATGCTGTCAAGGTTGTCAAAATATCATCATCATCATCTAGCACAGTCGTTCACAACCTTCCTAAAGCTGCAACCCTTTTATACAGTTCCTCATGTTGTGGTGACCCTGTAATACAGTTCCTCATGCTGTGGTGACCCTTTAATACAGTTCCTCATGCTCTGGTGACCCTGTAATACAGTTCCTCATGCTGTGGTGACCCTGTAATACAGTTCATCATGCTGTGGTGACCCTTTAATAAAGTTCCTCATGTTGTGGTGACCCTTTAATACAGTTCCTCGTGTTGTGGTGACCCTTTAATACAGTTCCTCGTGTTGTGGTGACCCTTTAATACAGTTCCTCATGCTGTGGTGACCCTTTAATACAGTTCCTCATGTTGTGGTGACCCTTTAATACAGTTCCTCATGCTGTGGTGTCCCTTTAATACAGTTCCTCATGTTGTGGTGACCCTTTAATACAGTTCCTCATGTTGTGGTGACCCTTTAATACAGTTCCTCATGCTGGGGTGACCCTTTAATACAGTTCCTCATGCTGTGGTGACCCTGTAATACAGTTCCTCATGCTGTGGTGACCCTTTAATACAGTTCCTCATGCTGTGGTGACCCTTTAATACAGTTCCTCATGCTGTGGTGACCCTTTAATACAGTTCCTCATGCTGTGGTGACCCTGTAATACAGTTCCTCATGCTGTGGTGACCCTTTAATACAGTTCCTCATGTTGTGGTGACCCTGTAATACAGTTCCTTGTGTTGTGGTGACCCTTTAATACAGTTCCTCATGCTGTGGTGACCCTTTAATACAGTTCCTCATGCTGTGGTGTCCCTTTAATACAGTTCCTCATGTTGTGGTGAACCTTTAATACAGTTCCTCATGCTGTGGTGACCCTTTAATACAGTTCCTCATGTTGTGGTGAACCTTTAATACAGTTCCTCATGCTGTGGTGACCCTTTAATTCAGTTCCTCATGTTGTGGCGACACCCTACCATACAGTTATTTTTTATGCTACTTCATAACTTCAATCAGTATGTGTTTTCTGATGGTCTTAGGCAACCCTTGTGAAAGGGTCGTTTGACCACAAAAGGGCTGCGACCCACAGGTTGAGAACCGCTGATCTAGCAGGTCCTTATATCTTGTCCCCATCTTCATGTTGGTTGAACCCTGCCCCTCCTTCCTGGTCCCATGCTTTCTGCTATTATTTTTTTTCCAACCTGTCGTGGTGCTTAATGTGACTAAAATATGTCAGCGTCCATGTTGAAACAAGAAGGGTAATATGTCAAGGCGGGATGCGGCACCTGCTGAATCACACACGGTGCTGCACCAGGACCAAGACTGTACTGGTCAAGACCTGCCTACACCTCTCTACAGTGATCCTAGAAACTGGTTCCCAGTGGGAGTCTGGCCAACTAGGATAGGATGGATGGTTTCTTTGCAGTTGGAGTCCATCCTCCTGAGAGGCCAGGAACCAACAGTTTTGCACACGGAAAAGTCATATCTGTAAAATGGATTTGCAAGACTAAGACCACAGTCCAGAAATGGACGAACACCCAAGACTATGCACCGCAGTTTCTTCTTCTCCTGCCTTTCTAACTTTCAGTGGAGCATAGACCCTCCACCAACTTACGGCGAGTTGTTCTGTCCTTTGTTATAGCAGGCAGCTCTTCCCATGTTCTCCCCATCTTTTTAACTTCGCTCTCAAGCTTCCTTCTCCGTGTTTTTTTTTGGGCCGGAAAGGGGGGGGGTGGTCTTCTTTTATTTCTGTGCCCCTGTTGGTTCCATTGCAAAGACATTTTAGTTATATTGTTCTCGGGGTTTCTCAGCGTGTATCCTATCCAAAGCCAGCATCTTCTCTTCACCTCTTGGTCCACTGGAACAGGAGTTTACAGGCTATGAATGCACAGGGTACTTGGGTGATTCATTCTATCAGTCATTTCTTGAGACTTTTTCAGACTAGTACTGAACTTTCTTTCATCTGATTTGCAGTGATCAAGACCTATTTTATAGCTGTAATGTTACAGTGGCTGTTTTGATGTTTCACTAACAGCTGGTATGTTTCATGACAGCTGTGATGTTACAGTGACAGCTGTGGTGTTGCAGTGACAACGGTCATGTTGCATAACAGATGTGATGTTGCATTGGCTGTTGTGATATTGCAATGGCTATTATGATGTTACATCATAGATGTAAGATTACCATGGCAGTACTGAAGCTCCCAAACTAACTACCATGTGTCTCTGAAAATAGAACCTAAGCAGAAAAAAAGCCCCAACATGGTTTTTCTCGATGTTTGTGATATAAGCCCTACCTCAAATATAAGTCATAGTTAAGATCGTCAGCCAGACTAAATAAAATATGGCAAGTATGTGAATCCTTTCAGCTGAAATACAAAATCAGTCACTTGCAAATGTAAATTCATGTGAAAGGCGTCCGTGGCTTAGGCATTGTGAGTCCGACTCGTAATTCCATCGTACCGCGATCGAAACCCACTGCTGGCTGCATGGATTTTTATCAAGGTATAGGGCGTCGCAGGTCGACCCAGCCTAAAATAGGTACCAGGATGGCTGTCTTGGGAAAGTAAAGATGGCTGGCGTAATGCTGACTACATAACCCACCTAGTGCCGATTGGTCTTTAAAAATATAGAATGCTCTTCCCACATGCCAGATGCGTATAAGGCTTGAAAAGGGTACTGTACTGTACCAGGGAAAGCCCAAGTTGATCGCTATGTTTTTTTCTTTGCAAAAATCTAGATGGAAGTGTCTTTGAAACCCACAACAGACGTAATGAATTATTCAGAAATGAATAAATAAATACTATTATTGACACTAATGCTTTAAACAATATAATTTCTGTGTAGGTTTTTGGTGCCTCAGTGTGGGGTGGAGGGAGAGGTGGATAGAACCAATCCATGTCATAAACAAGAATGTCATAAAAGTTGACTAATTAGTGGCTTTTCCGTTAAAGTCCATCTGCCTGAGAGGTAGGGAACCAGCAGTTTGCAAACACATGAGCCAGATCTGTAAAATGGTAATGAATGTCTAACACAAGTTCTCAAACAAGACTAAAGTCCAAAAGTAGACAGAGAATTACAAGTTTCCACCAGAGTTTACAGCTGGTGAACACTAAGAAGAAGGAGAAATCAATGATAAAATAAATATTTGTAAATACCCAGTTTGCTTAAATCATATAATAACTGAAATCAATAATGAATTTTCTGGTTTCCATGGTAAAATGGTCAAGTCATTCTAATCATGCTTTGACCTTTTTTTTTTAATTATTAAATATGTAAATGTGTTTGTGCGTTTTTTTTTTTTAAATGTTAAATATGTAAATGTGTTTGTGCGTTTTTTTTTTAATGTTAAATATGTAAATGTGTTTGTGCGTTTTTTTTTTTTTTAAATGTTAAATATGTAAATGTGTTTGTGCACGTTTTTTTTTTTTTAAATGTTAAATATGTAAATGTGTTTGTGCGTTTTTTTTTTTTTTAAATGTTAAATATGTAAATGTGTTTGTGTGTTTTTTTTTTTTCAAATGTTAAATATGTAAATGTGTTTGTGCGTTTTTTTTTTTTTTTATTTTAAATGTTAAATATTGTAAGTGTTTGTGCTTTTTTTTTTTTTAATTTAAATATGTAAATGTGTTTGGCTTTTTTTTTTTTTTAAATTTAAAAATATGTAAATGTTTTTTTGCGTTTTCTTTTTTTTTTAATTTTAAATATGTAATGTTTTTGTGTGTTTTTTTTTTTTCAAATGTTAAATATGTAAATGTGTTTGTGCGGTTTTTTTTTTTTTCAAATGTTAAATATGTAAATGTGTTTGTGCAGTTTTTTTTTTTTTTAAATTAAAATAGTCTCTGTTGTGGCCAGTACACTGCAGTTTGTGCTTTGTGTGATACTCTTGTCAAGTGTTCAATTGCTCTGCAGATAAAAACTCCAGCCAAGTGCAGGGAATTGATCCTGTAATCTTCAAACCTTCTAAGGAAATCTCATTGTTCCTTCTTCTACCAAAAATGTAATCTCATTCTTTGATTCCACAGAAATGCCCATCGCCCCCATTAAAAACCCTAACGGGGAGGTCAATTTCCAGGTTGTCCCGGAGTGAGGTGTACCACGAGAGAGGGGGGA